GGTGGGTTTTTGAGCCATTATTTAAAAGTTTATACTGAGTCATTGCTCTGCAGATGAATGACTGATTCATAGTCGGAGAGCTGCAGAGAGTCTGGAAGGCAGGAGGTTCTGGGATCCAGCTGGGGCCGAGTGCACACCTTCCACCTTCGATTAACATCAAAGGTCAGAGTGGGCTCCCCACGGGCGACTCATTAAAACCATCCCTGCCGCGGGGCTTGGCAGGTCCTGAGGCGCCAGGCTGTGGCTCACGTACGTTTCGCCACGTTTCCACACTGTCTTCACCCCCGGTTGGGGACGCGGGTTTCAGGGTTAGACCTTTAGAGAGAATTCTGCGTGGAAAATTCTTTACCTTTCATTCGAAACGGCAGCAAAATGCAAATGGGGTGAAGTGCTGTGGACGTGCTCTGAAATCTAAGCGTTCAGACGAATGGTCGGTTGAAGGAACTGATTTTTAATTTTCATGGCTTTTTGTACTGAGCTTTGACTCAGTTTTGAGAATGAAATAGGAGGGAGGGTGTGTGTGTGTGTGTGTGTGTGTGTGTGTGTGTGGTCTTAAAGGATATATCGAGTGTTGTATTGGTGTCTTAATTTACATTCACAGCATACAATTGAAAAGGAGCCATAATTTTTTTTTTTTGATAGCGTTTTCTGTGACTAGATGCCCAGGTGAAATATTTGGAAATGCTGTTTTGTGTTATCTGTAAAATGCTTATGTGTAGAAATGTCCAGGTGGACCCTCAGTCGAGCTTTAAAATCTTAACGGTGCTTTTCAGGTCTTGGAAAATGGCCTGTTGAAAATACTGCATCATTGTAGGGTGTCTGGCAAAGTAGTATACAGCTGTCCTTTATTCAAAGGAGAGGAAATGTTTCCCTTTTCGCCATGTTGTGACATCTTAAATATTAAGAATTAGTCTGAAGGTGAAAATTCCCTGGCCAAAGCAAATCGAACCTTTTAAGTGAGAAAACTGGGGAATTTATCACAGGAGACCGAAATCCCTGTGAGTGGGAGCTGGGGATGGAAATCCAGACGGACCTTGGGTTCCAGCCTCACTGGCTCAGATCAGATCTCATCACAGACAGGGTTTAAGATGTCAGGTGTCTCTCCCAGACACCTCTGTTCCAGCTGTCACATTGCAGAAGCCAGGGAAGCAGAGAGCTGGCCAGGGAGAATCCCAGCATCTTTGAAACAAGACATTAATGTGAATTTTTCTGTGAGGGGAAAGACCAATTGTTTGTCTTGGATGCTATCCGTTCCTTTTGAGTTAATAAGATGGCCTCGCAGAGAGGGCTGCAGAGACATTCTGTCAGAAAGAGGTGGTAGTCAGCTGTTTCTGCTGCTACTCTTGCTGGTTTTCTGAAGAAAGTCCTTTATTTAACTGGGTGTTTCTTGTCCCTGTCTTTGGGATTTTTTTTTTTTTTTTCTAAATACTTTGCTAGAATCACTTGGAAATTATCAGTGTGTCAATCAAGAAGGACTTTCTGGGGCATTGTCAGGATAGATATGCTAATGAGCCAAAAAGATGAGCATGATTTATCATTCCCTTAAAATTCTTTTTTGTAATGCTGAAACTGTACCTCGGGAGAGATGAAACTGTCACTGTGGTGTTGCAAACCTGAGCTAGCTCAAACACACAAAGGAAATTGCATTAAATTTGTCCATCTTTGTTTTCTCATCTTGTGTAGTAAGACTCTCCAAACAGCAAATGAGCTAACCTATGAAGTATTACACAATAGCCCAATTTCTTCTCAGTGGTCAATTTCAGAATTATTAACAGAGAAGTCTCATGACCTAAGGCCTTACATGATTTGTGGAATCAGAGTGCCTATATACATCTTTGCAAGTATTTGCAGAAGAAAAATCAGTTTTTTGTTGTTGTTATTGATGATGTTGTGTAGGTTTATGCTCATCACATTCCAGAAAGGGAGGGAAGCTGAGATGAGAGCTAAAGTGAGAGGAGGTGAGGCCACAGGATTTGGAAGGTGACCAGAGAGCGGCAGCCGAGGCCTGAGTATATGCTATGGTGCTTAGGGTTAGAGCCAGAGTGAGGGAGGCCCAGAGGCCTGCAGCCAGGAAGGCAGTAAAGAGGTAGTTGGGGATTGGTGTGGTCCCAGAGGAGCTAGCAGAAAGAAGAAAATTTAATCTTGAAAAGTATAGAGGAAAACATTAAATTCATTTGCATAATTTCCATGATTTTTTTTTTTTTTCGAGACAGGGTTTCTCTGTGTAGCTTTGGAGCCTATCCTGGCACTTGCTTTGGAGACCAGGCTGGCCTCGAACTCACAGAGATCCGCCTGTCTCTGCCTCCCAAGTGCTGGGATTAAAGGCGTACGCCACCAACGCCCAGCTAATTTCCATGATTGTTAATAAAAATATGAAATGCCTTTTCATTTTGGAAAGCCTTTATTGTTTTGCGTATTCCAGGAAAGAACTGGGATGAGAGGCCAGTTTAGGAAGAAGAAGGTGAGGTTCTGTCAAACATAGAGCCTTTGTTTGGTGAAGCTTGTTGGTGCTTACAGACACGGGTCAGGTGGCAGGAGTAGGATGTCACTCTGCAGGTGCCTGTTGGCTTCCGGCCCCTCAAGGAGTCAGATTGGCATTCACGCTGCACTCAGACAAGCATATTATTAACCAGCACTTGGAGTCTTTCGCTCATTTAATTAACATTCAGTTAATGTGCCCAGAGTTCCCATAATCTAGTTACTATGCTAGAATGAATGAGACACACCACCTGCTTTTAGGGGTGTGATCTGTAGAAACCTGGGGCATCTGGGTGTCTGTGCACAGTTAAGGGCAGTGGCAGACCCCAAGCTTTGACTGTGACACCAGGACAGGAACTTTCCAAAGGAAGAGTGAAGAAAACCCAAATCACCAGGAAAAGCGAGGAAAGTCCACACATGGAGAAGGAAATGAATTAGTGGGTTGTATAGAAGTCTGCAATTATGGGGTCGGGGTTGTGTTACTGTAAGAGAAAAGCTCCTGGCTGCCTGGACTAGTCAGGGAGGCATCTGGCACCCAGTTTACCACAGTATTAGGAAGTCTGGTCCCACTTATAGGGCCCTGAGAATGGCAGCAAGAGGATCTTCTGTGTAAGATGAGACCTGTTAGCTTGCAGCCCTGGTGCTCCCTGCTGGTATGTGTAAGGTTGGTAGTTCTGCAAGTCAGTTTATTGCCTGTGCTGCCCCCCAGCTCTTTCAGGCTTTTGTGTGACTTGGAGCTGAAATAGTCTGGTTGTCCCTGACTAAAGAGCATGGTTTGTTGAAGGGGCTAGAGCAGTAGCACCAGTTTGGGCCATAGAGTGTTGCTGTGCCCACTGTTTCTCTTTGTAGGTCAGGGGTTCTCAATCTTCAAAATGCTCAACTCTTTAATACATGATGATGACCCTCAACCATAAAATTATTTTGTTGCTACTTCATAACTGTAATTTTGCTACACTTAATTGTTTTTGTTTGTTTGGTTGGTTGTTTTTTCGAGACAGGGTTTCTCTGTGTAGCTCTGGAGCCTATCCTGGCACTCGCTCTGGAGACCAGGCTGGCCTTGACCTCACAGAGATCTGCCTGCCTCTGCCCCCTGAGTGCTGGGATCAAAGGCATTACTCTTAAGAATTGTAGTGTAAATATCTGATATACTACACACAACGCGTTGGGATCCACATGTTGAGAATCACTGTTGTAGGTAGAAAATTTCAAAAAGCCATGGTGGTGGGGAAGACAGAACACACCTCTCCTAAACCCACCACTCTGGTCCTTACTGATGGACTTGAAACATTTTAATTCTCAAGAAATGAAATATTGGACCCTGTGTTTAATTTTGTAAATTTTTTTTACTATTATTGTATAATTTGTATTGTATAATACTATTAGTGTATAATGGTTAGGGGGTGAGTGACACTGCGGGCATGTAGTGTCAGAGGATAACTTTCTGGAGTCTGTCCTGTCCTTCATAGTCACATGGGTTCTGTTGATTGAGTTCAGGTGGTCACAGTTACATCTTTGAATGGCAAGCGTCTTTACCTACTGAGCTGTCTCACAGCCCCCAATGTTTCATTTCATGGTTTCATTTTTAAAAGATTTGTTTCATGTTGATTTTAAACCATTTGAAAATTAACTAGAAAGCTGGTAAGATGGCTCAGCAGGTAAGCCTGATGACCTGAGTTCGATCCCTGGAACTCATGGTCAGAGGAAAGAGTTGGTAGAAGGAGAGAACAAACGGACTTTTCCGGATTGCCCTCAGATCTCCACTCATGTGCCTCTGACTCTCATAAAAAGTGTAAAGGATAAAAAAAGCAGAGGCTATTTAGTAACTTCTCATGAGGACATTTTACTAAAAAAGAGATCAGGTACTGCCGTTCTGATTTCCCAATTTCCTCTCCAACTCAAACCCTGATTACACATCCAGGCCATAATGCCATATTAATAAGAATCTTGACATCTTTTAAGTGTCGAGAAAGGCTGGGTTGAATAACCAAGTGGGTGAAATATATCTCTAGGAGTCATGATGGTTTTTGTTTATTTTTGAGACAGGTTCGCCCTGTATAGCCCAGGCTGCCCTTGAACTTAGAATCCTCTTGCCTCAGCCTCCCTAGTGCTGAGTGAGCCACCATGCCTGATGAATCATAATACTTTTGATGAGGTTTCCCAAGGTTAACTTTTACTCTGGAAGGTTAATGCCCATTTGGAGGCCTGCTGCATAGGAGGTAATTATAACTAGGTGCTTGTGACACCTCTTCTTCCACCAAGGGCAGGGTGTATGGTAAGTGCTTGGTGAATGCTTGTATTCAGATTCTGCAAGGTAGGAAGAGAAGGACATGACTGATGACCACAATGTTTCACTGGGTTCCAAGTCTGTGTTGTAGTTGGGCAAACCCTAGTGCCTCCTGTGACCATTTTCTGAAGGCCACTCTACCTTGTCCTGCTGTTCTGATATGTTAGCTGCAGTTACACAGTGGGAAACTACTACTCATTGTTTTTTGAAACAGGGGCTGTTTATATGTAGCCACAACTTGCTGAGTTGACCAGGCTGGCCTCAAATTCACAGAGATCCACCTGTCTCTGTGTCTTCCTCCAGAACAGGGATTAAAGGTGTGCCACCAAGTTTGGCAGGGAAACTTCTTTGATACAAACTTCTAACTTTCTTGGAAGAATGGGGAAAGGAGTTCTTGGGA